TAGCAATGGTGATATGTAATACAGTACACCGATGATAATGGCCCTCGGGAATGTTGCGAAACAACCACCTACCTATATCAATGAAATCGGTCACCCTGCTAACCAATTTTTTATATGGACTGTTAACAATGCCTACCAAAGCAAGCCAAGCCATCCACAATATTCACAGCGAACCTCTAGTCTCATAGGAGACCTTCAGCTCTATATAAGCAGTATAGCATATGGTGTACACATATATGGCGTAGGATAGTAGAAGAGGCAACCCAGCTTGGTGCAAATAGGCCCAAACACTCCTATTACCCTTTGTCTCATGTCGGGCAATGATTTTTTCGCGTTTCCGAAATTTTCATTTTTCGACCAAATGAGATCTGAGTTAGGGGTAGTATCCCTACGAGCAAATAAAGGGAACATATATAGGATCTCTAATATCATGACTCATCGCAAAAGCCATGATGCAGATACTATAAGCCTCGATTTTTTACCAGTGATCAACCCAAAATTATGGGTTATGTAGACAACACATTCGTCATCATTAAAAGGAACAAGTCGGAGAACACCTACAATCAGATTGACAACTTTTTTGATGACATAAAATTCATAAGGAAAGGGAGTTAGTTAGACAAAAAACTATCATTCCTGGATGTAGTAATCATCAGAACTGACGCACAGGTAACCGGAGACTCAAGTTAGTTGGAAAGCAATCGCACACAGATCTAATTCTCAACTACAATAGTGACAACCTAAAAACTCACAAAAGCAACTGCCTAAAAACTTAGTTCAAGAGAACGAAAGCACACTGCAGCACACATGAAGCTCAAAAAACAACGAATAAAAAAATATCAAATGACTATCTTACAAAAGAACGGCTATCCATGTAACTTTATCAAAAAGTATCAAGTGAAACAATACACAGAAGCGAAATCAAGTACAGGATTCAAAAAACAGATCACGAGTACTGAAACCATTTGGAACTGGTGTAGCACAAAAACCAACAGAATCACTTCAATCATTCTTATATGAAACGAAGGATAAAATGACAGACTGTGAAAAATACTGCTGCATAAGTCAAAATGGACGTACTCTTCAGCTTCGTCTGCATGAACGAACATCAATTAACAGTCAAACGACACAACATTTCTTCTCTTATATCAATCAATACATACGGACAACTATGGATAGACATTCGATTAGAATAATGTTAAAATACTAGATAGAGGTGTGGTGCGCTCTACTTATAAGTAGTATATGGCGCGAGTGTAAACGTAATGTCTGGCAGCAAGCAGAAGATGGGGGAAGATCAAGAAAGCAAGAAGAGTGGGAACACAATGGAATTTGTATGAAATAGCATGAATAGTGAGTGAAATGTCAGACAATGGATTGATGATGGATTGAAGATTTGTAAAATTAACCGTTTACGATATGGTTTTCCTATTTCACTGAGTAACTCTGTAATTTTCGTTAAATACAATTTGGTTGCCCTCACCTATGTTCTCCTTCACTACAGAGGGAGTACAATGAACAATAGTGAATTTTAAAAAAAAACTTGGCACCCAATGAAGATGGAGGACAATAGAAAAAGCTACCAATCATATGTGCTGAAATTTAAATATTTCACCTTTGTCTGAAGTTTGTATTGATGATGCTTGTTGTCTGTGTTCAAAAGGACAATGAAATCTTCACAACTTAAACATACCAGCTCAGAGAACAAAACTCCACCACAATCATCCACAGGGGCTACACATTTTCTCCACTGACTTAAAAAGGATTAGGAATATTGTTGATAGTCAACTCACGATAGTCTTCTTTATCAGTGAGAGGTAACTCCAAGAGTTCTGTTGAGGAAGTACAACTAGTGTAGTGAAGGAAAACACAGGTTAGGGAAACCGAATTGTATTTATCGCAAATTACAGAGTTACTCAGTACAATACGAAAACCATCTCGTAAACGGTTAATTTTACAAATCTTCAATCCATCATCAATCCATTGTCTGAAATTTCACTATTCATGCGTTTCGTACAAATTCCATTGTGTTCTAACTCTTCCTTTCTTGATCTTCCCTCATATTCTGCTGACAGACATGACGTTGACACTAATGTCATATACTACTTTTAAGTAGCTCACACCACAGTATCCCTACGAGCAAATAAAAGGAACATAAATAGGATCTCTAATATCACAACTCATCGTCGCAGAAGGCATGATGCAGAGACTATAAGCCTCGATTTTTACTAGTGATCAAGCCAACTTATGGGTTATGTAGACAACACATTCGTCATCATTAAAAGGAACAGGTCGTAGAACACCTACAATCAGGTCGACAACATCTTTGATGACATAAAATTCATAAGGAAAGGGAGTTAGTCAGACAACAAACTATCATTCCTGGATGTAGTAATCATCAGAACTGACGCACAGGTAACCGAAGACTCATGTTAGTTGGAAAGCCATTGCACACAGATCTTATTCTCCACTACAGTAGTGACAACCGAAAAACTCACAAAAGCAACTGCCTAAAAACTTAGTTCAAGAGAACGAAAGCACACTGCAGCACGTAAACATGTCAACTTGATATACTTGAACTATTACGAGTTTACCTTAGTCGTAAACGAGAGCGAGGATCGAGGATCTGGCGACACGACATACTACTCAAATCCAATTATCCGAGCCCCCCTCCCATAATAAGTAAAAATAAGAAGACGTGATATGCATTAGAACATGTATTCTACAAGCATCCCGAAAGTGCGAGGTCCGAATCCAGAAGAGAATCAGGATCCCGGACTAGGGATCCAGGACCGAGCCCTGGTCCTGGTCGTGGTCATAAAATGTTACAGATAATGCTTATTTGTACATTTTAATCAAAAAGAAACAGCATCGAATTCTGTGGCATTGACAGTTTAGACGACCAATAGGAAGTAACATTTGAAATGACATTGACAGTCCGGATGACCAATAAGAGACAACATTGAAGTACTTGACTTTGACAATTAAAACGACCATAATTTTGACCAATAGAAAGCAACCTATAAGATTTGACAAATAATTCTTTTAGGATATTGGATGAATATCCTAACAGTTAGACATTACCAGCGTTATATACTTGCTCAGTGGTCCAGAGGTTAGGCATTCACGGGCAAGATCGAAGGTCCAGGTGTCATGGATGCGCACTGCTGATGAGTCCCATACTAGGACGAAACGGCAATTCATTGCTTCCAGATTACTCATGGTGGTTTGACATTGATCAATTCATGATTTCACTGAATGACTCATTTTAACAATAAATGACCTTCAGAACTGATTTCATCGTTTGATGGCCTCGCTACTAAATATCCGAAGAAGCTAATAATAGGAAATTTCAAATGATGACAATTTTTATTCACAAATTATGCGACTAACTGATTTCTAATTATTATCAGTAATTAATTATATGATATGAATTTTTTTTGTATAAGTGTTCTGTTTAAAATGTTAACAAATTTATCTTTATATATTTCTAAAGCAACTGCAAAATCGTGCACGGAGGACAGCTAACAGACTCTTTCGAGGTGAAGACCGGTGTCAGGCAAGGTTGCTTACTCTCACCCTTTCTCTTTCTCCTGGTCATCGACTGCATTATGAAAACGTCAACAG